GAATGTGATGTATAGGGCTCTGTGTGAGCATATACTGTAGAGCGGTGAATTATGAATTGTCCAGGTCATATTTTACTCATGAATGAGACCATTCAAAATTGTTTTTGCATTGTGACATTATTTTCATATAGAAAGGCTTCTTTTTCTTAATGGGTTCATGAATTACAATTCTTTGTTTATAATGTTTTCTGAGGTCCACTTATAATGTTAGTTAGATTTTTACATCAAAAAATTTAAATAATTTAGAATTAACTTCAGAAGTAACTCTTTGAAACACCCTGTTTTGATAGGCGTGCCACTTTCAAGACTTGGAAGTAAACGCCCACTGCTATAATTGGGGAACAATTTTGCATATAAAAATAAAAGATGGACACTGCTGTGATGTACTATGAAAACAATATGGGTCATTTTGGTTGAAAGGATAAATACTCAGTACAGTAACAGACAAAGCAATAGTGACACATGGTAAAAACATAGTTACTCACACTTGTGTGTTGCAACATTACAGTACTGTTGGATCCAACACAGTCGGCATTGTATCATCTTTTTCTCTAAAAAACCTGCATCAAACTCTTGTTTAAAAATGATTGTACAGTAAAATGAAGCAAAAACAAAAAGAACAGCATCTTAGGTGGTTTACTTGACAGTTTTCAACTGACCTGAAAACGCAAACTTTTGAAAACATGTTTGAAAGTGTGAGTTTTTAAAAACTATACTGTTACTGTGTAAACTACGAAAACGTAGAATTCGTGAAAACAGTGACATCAGGCGCGTAGTGTTTCTTCACAAAGTGATATCGCCACCTGCTGGCCTGGCATGCATAATACAGTATTTTTAGTCGTTTTTGCATATCTGTGTGGACAGGGATAGTTTCGACAATGATGCCATCTGTACACAAATCTTTTCAAAGACACTAAGGAAGAACTTTTCCATTTTTAGTCCAGTTGCTGTGGTGTGACCATACCCTTATTGACACAGTCTGGAACTTAAAAATAGTTAAAGTTCATTTTAAAAAATAATTAAAGTTCATTCTCTGTTTCCTAATGTTACACCGCGTCTACACCAGATGTGAGCAGCACAGTGGTGTAGCAAGTCAGCCCCGGGCCCATATGCAAAAAAAATTGTACGGGCCCCCCCAAACGTTATTGGCTCCAACTCGGTTAACTTATTGTTGATTTTTATGAAGTGATTAACGTTACGTGTACTCACAAGCTGTTTTATTTACGGTATAAATGCTTGGAAATAATATTTAACGTTTTCAAGTCCATTCATCATTTGTAGCACGCAAGCCACCCAATAATCGCAATAAGCTTTGTGCTTTATTACTTGTATTAAAACACAAAGTGTCAGCCTTCTGTCAACTTTATAATAAAATACTACAAACAATAAATGTTTTTTACGCTCTTAAATTTGTAGTGAGATACAGTAACTATATTCGTCTCAGTTCAAGCAGCATGTGAATCAATGATATTTTCCTCTTTAATATTTGCAGCACGAAATAAACATGAATAAATGTTTGAATGCATGTTGAAAAAATCTGAACAATTTAATACAAATGAATGTTTCATGAAATCGAGCAATTAGAGTTTAAAAAAACGTCAATACGTTTTATTGCTGTTTTTCATGTTAAATGTGAAGAATGACAGGTTGGGTAATTTTGACTTTATTCTTAAAATTTTATTACGTTAATCTTAGACTACGTCCACACAAAGCCAGAGCTTTCCCTATCCGATCTTTTTTTTCTCCTCGTCTCAAGAAATATCTGCGTCCACACGAAACACCACGAAACCGTCACAAAACGATGTAGTATACATGCCAGACTAGTATGTGGCGCTGTAATTCTGCCACAGAGATACACTAAAAACGGAGAAGAAGACTTGGACTATGGTGGACTGATTACGTCATCGTTTCAGAAAACGCAAGGGTGGCGTTTTCAGATTTATCCACTCTGGGACCCGGTTTCAAAAAATATCGGTTTCACTCTCCCAAAACGCCGGATCCGTCTGGACGAAACACCTATACCATACAAAATGTATGCGTATATCAGCTAAACTGGTATACTCCGTGTGGACGGGGCCTTATTTAGTTAGTTATTTTTCAACGTGGCACTAAAGTGCCGCCGTAGGCTATTTGTATTGCATGCAAACACAATCTTGGCACAGAAGCCCAAAAAACAAAAACATCTTTACGGATTAGCCTACATAATGAAAGAGTTTTTGTTTTCGATTTGAATTATTTCGTTTCAAAGTATTTAAAGCATTCTATTATCATGTCTGCGAGGAGGCAAGTATTCGCTGA